CCTTTTTATATCTTTCTTTTTTTTCTTTTCTTTTTTTTTTGGTACTGGGGATCGAACTCGGGACCTTGCACTTGCGAGGCAGGTGCCAGAACCACTGAGCTAAATCCCTGGCCCTGTTTTTTTTATTTTCAAACAGGGTCTCACTAAGTTGCCCCGCATGGCCCTGAACTTTCTTTTTATTTTTATTTCTTGGTACCAGGGATTGAACTCGAGACCTTGTGCTTGCCAGGCAGGCAGTGGAACCACTGAGCTAAATCCTCGGCCCTGCCCTGAACTTTCAATCTTCCTGTCTCAGTCTCAGAAGCTGGGATTGCAGGGTTGTGCCACTTACATGGATGAATTTCAGTATGTGACTTTCATATACAATAATAAAAGTGTTGCAAAAAAGGAATTGAGGATCCCAAATAATTTTTTTTTTCTTTTTTGTGGTACTGGGGGTTTAAACTCAAAGCCTCATGGATGCTAGTAAATTGATCTACCACTAAGATATAGGAGCTATATCCCCAACCCCTAAAGAACTTTTGTTAATGCTGGTGATATTAAAATAGAAGAAGGTTGCCAGGCATGGTGGCATATCTGTAATCTCAGCACTTGGGAGGCTGAGGCAGGAGGATCACTGAAAGTTTGAGACTAGCCTGAACTACTTAGCAAGATCCTGTCTCAAAAAAACAACAACAAAAAAGGTCAATGAAGAAGATCAAACTATCTCATCTTTAGGTCGGGCTTGGTGGTGGATACCTATGATCCCACCACTCAGAAGGCTGAGGCAGGAGGATCACTGCAAGTTCGAGACCAATCTGGGCTATATAGTGCATTCAAAGCCAGCTTGAACTACATAGCAAGACTTGTCTCAAAAAACAGACAAAAACCATCTCATCTTTAGGCTCCTTAAACTATGGATGTCTGATAAAGGAGGCTTTTCCTCTTTCTCTCGAGAAAATATTTCTATTCCACTGATGTTCTGGTAAAAGTATTACATGCTTATGTGAATGATATTGGGGAAAAGAAGGCACTGAGGAAAGTAGGTCACAATCACTTGTTTTCTAGAACAGAGGAATTTCAAGCAGGTTACAGATGTTTCAGGATAAAGAACACAAATGTTCATATGATCTGGAGGGAAGACAGATTTTTCTAAGGATAGAAGAAATTTCAACTCACATGGGCCATGGCTTTTGAAATTATTTGACCTCTGCTTTTTCTGAATTCTTCTCTTGGACAAGTGCAAGGATCTGAAAAAGCAAAATAGAGGGAGATGAGTAAATTTCTGCTAAACTGAACTTGCCTCAGCACTCCCAAGCACTCTACTAAAGCCTCCAGTCCCATATGGAGTCAGCAAAGAGAAGCAAGAAAACCACATTAATATAGGCATCTTGCGTGCATCCCAGCACATCCAGACAAGTGTGAAATAACTATACTTGTACTGTACTTGCTTTGCTTGCCCTCCTATTGTCCTACAATATAAGAATATTAAGGATTAGAGTTAATGAAACCCAGCCCCTTACTAAACACTAGAGAACCCTAAAGCAGCAAGATGATTTCCAGGCAGATGTGCCCCAGCATTGACACAGAACCCAAGCATGTCAGAGGATGGGGTAATGCCTGAGATAGCCCAACTTTTTTTGTAGTATTGAGGATTGCACTCACACTAGGCAACTGCTTTACCACTAAGCTATACGGTCAGCCCTACCTATGTATCCATATCTATGTATCCATCCACCTATCCATCTATCCACCCATCTACCTACCCACTTACCTACCTATTTATATTTTGAGATAGGGTCTAAGTGGCCTGGGCTGGCCACAAACTTCTGATTCTCCTGCCTCAGCCTCCTGAGAAACTGGGATTACAGGCATATGTCACGACCCCTGGCTAGTCTATCATATTGATGCTAATCTAAACTTCACATGGGGCTTAGATGCTCCCACCTACTCCAAGTTGCAAAAAAATGCTTGTGTGGTTTTTTTTAAGTTGTTTGAGAAAGGGTCTCACTATGTAATTCAGGCTGGCCTTGAACTCACTGTGTAGCCCAGGCTGAGCTCAGATTTGCAGTGATCCTCCTGGCTCAGTCTCCTGAGTTCTGAGATTATAGCTGTGTGCCACCTGCCCCGTAGCAAGGAGGATTATAATGCATTTTTACCCCTTAAGAATAAGGACAGCGTCACTAGGCTAGGACCACAGAACACAGGTATAGGCCAAATGTAAATAATGTCTATGGCTTCAGGAAAAACCTCTCGAGTACCTCAGTAGTTCTACTTCCTCCTTCCAAGCCCCAAATGGGGCGATTCTACCTACTCTATGGGCTCTATTAAAGCCTTCAGCCCCACATGAAATCACCAGACGAAGCAAGAAAACCACAGTAATACAGGTATCTTACATGCATACCAGCACATCCAGAATACTGACCTCATTGGGAAATTAATTTCTAGACCCTTCTTGGCTCAGCACTCCAAATTTCCTGTCTAAGCCCTCCCTATTGCTCTCCTGTAGAACATTACTTCTTCAGTATGGCTGTGCTGGGTCTGGAGTCCTGTGAATGGCCTATTTCTCAAGGTAATGAAAATCCAGTGTTTATGGTGCAAACCTATAATCCCAGCACTGGGGAGGCTGAGGCAGGAGAATCACTACAAGTTCGAAGCCAGCCTGGGCTACATAGTGAGTTCAAAAGCAGCTTGAACTACATGGCAAAAACCTGTCTTGAAAAAGAAGAAAAAACAAAAAACAAAGAAAATCTAGTGTTTTTAAGAAAGGTACCGGGCCAGGGATTTAGCTCAGTGGTTCTGTTGCTTGCCTTGCAAGCACAAGGTCCTGAGTTCGATCTCTGGTACAAAAAAAAAAAAAAGAAGAAAAGAAAGGTTCTAAAGCTGATGCTAATTAGTGGTGTAAGGTACTTTCCATGCTCAGGGCTGTTCAGAAGGAAGTCTAATTTAATCACTAGGGTAGCGTCAAGGAAAATTTCTTGTAAGATGGGTTCTAAAAAAAATCAGAGAAATTTAATAGACAAGAAAAAGAACAAAGAACATTGAACAGAGTAAGATGCAGTGGGAAAAACAGTACACCAAAAAGTATATGTTGTATTTGGAGAAGAGAGAATAATTCAGAATGCCTTGTGTAGTTGGGTGAAGGGCTTAAACCAGTGCTGTCTAAAAGAACTTCCTGCAACAGTGGAAATCTTTACCACTGAGCTATAAATATAGTAGCCACTAGCCCCATGTGAGTTACTGCGGCTAGTATGACTAAGGAGCTGAACTTTTTACATAATTTTAATTAATCTTAATGTAATTAGCTGTAGAATTTAGAGGAAGACAATGCTAGGCTGACTTCTGGGGTTGGAAAATAAAGGCACATGAATGAAGTACCTATGAAGGAAAGGACCAGTGGGTCTCATTAACACTGTATTTTCCACACAACATTAACAAAAAAAGGTCTGGCTGAGGCCCTTGGTCAAAATAACAAAGTCAGAGGGCTGGAGATTTAGCACAGGGGTTTCGCCGCCTGCTGTACAAGTGCAAGGACCTGAGTTCAATCCCCAGTATCAAAAAAAAAAAAAAAGACAAAGTCAGAGGAAGCTTCAGAAATAGCAGACCCGAGTTTTCTATTTCCAACTCTACATGTCTCAAAGGAATTTTTCTCAAACCCACAATGTGAAATCAAAGGCAGATTATGAATTATAGGAGGAGGTGATGTTGACCCAACAAAAACATATTCTTCTAGATCTCTAACATTAGAACTTTGTGCAATTCCTTGTAAGCAAAATTTAGCTATCTATATACCACCTAGTAAAGCTTAGCTACATCCTTAAATTTTCTCTGTCTCTGAATTCACACACCCCCCCCCCCGTACCAAGAATTAAACTCAGGACCTTGCACTTGCCAGGCAGGTGTGGCACCACTGAGCCCTTAAATTCAAATTCTTTAGAGCCCATACATCCCCACTATACAAGGCCTGGGCTAAGGGGATGAGAAAAGTTGGCCAAGTTGCGGGAGTTGGACAGATACAGCTATAGCTAGCTCCATCTTAACATTAGTAATTTATTTCTGAAAAGGCAATCATTCTGAGTAAAAACCTTGACCAAGAGCCTTTTCTAACATTTAAAATGTAAAAAATACAATGCATCATATTTCAATACAAAGCTCCCAAATGATTTATAACACAATGAAATACAATAAAACACCTACATATAAGCTAGGTGCACACCTGTAATCCCAGCACTCTATGAGGCTGACAGGAGGATCACAAGTTTGTGCTCAGCATGGGCAACTCAGAATGAAAATTTCTGAAAAACAACACTTTCTTATCACTAAACAATTATTATGATAATAGTTTCTTTGTGCATAATAACATGGTCTCTATTAGAGCCATGAATAGCTGCAGATCCCTTTTGTTGATATTCAAATTTATGCTTTTATGAAAATATTTACATTATTGTGATATTTTAGGAGTTGCATTTAGGATGTTACTTGAAACCTTTCCTATATGTCCTGCATGCCATTTAAACAAAATGTACCAAATCTTCTGGATGTAAACAAAGTTTTCCAGGATAAATGTCAGCCCAAAATGAATATATTGAGACATATGTATATTCTTAAGCAATATTCAGTATTTTGAGTTAGCTAAGAACAGACTGATTAAATAACATATTTCTATATTGTGGTAATTTTGAGAACTCATACATTTAGGAGTAATTTAATAGTAAATAGAAAGTGTTCAAGATACGGTGAAAACAGAGCAGGTTACAAAACAGCTGGTCATCACCTAGTTCTATTTCTAAATACATAAATATAAGACTACATAAAATACAAAAATATAGAATATAAGCAATATAGACATAATCAGATGGAAAACAGGAAATTTTGCTCTTAAAGATTATTTTGGTTTGGGCCAGGGATTTAGCTCAGTGGTGCTGCCGCCTGCCTTGAAAGTGAAAAGACCCAAGTTCCACACCAAAACAAACAAACAAACAGATTACTTTTGGTTTTTCTGGGTGGTGATCATAAATTTTCTTATTTTTACTTATTTTTTCAATAACTATGCATTGATTTTTTTTTTTTTGGTACCAGGGATCGAACTCAGGACCTTGTGCTTGCAAGGCAGGCGGCGGCACCACTGAGCTAAATCCCCGGCCCTGCATTGATTTTTGTTTGTTTGTTTTTGGTACCAGGGATTGAACTCAGGTCCTTGTGCTCTGCATTGATATTTATATATTTCTAAATTCTGTTAAATATAAGCCATTTCCAGATTGAGAAAGAAAAAGAAAATACCTGGTTTTTTTCTTAAAATCCTCCTTTGAACATGAAATAATAGCTCAGCGTATTATAAAACCAGTTGTATTTTCTTAGAATAGCTTTTGTATAGGTGATTCTTCCTTTAATCTCTTCTTGCCAGAGGAGTTTCTGTGTTTCTGTACCTGCCCTATTTTCTCCAGTATTCTCCAAACACCTAATAATTTTGTTCCGCTAGTCATACTTTGGAAAACTGATTAGAGTAAAAACTGCAAGGGATATAGGATACTCAACAAAATCACGTCCACAGAATTCTTATGGACTCAGTTTAGCTTAGAGATGACAATGACTGCTCTGGTCATACAAATAATCTCCCTCTTTTGAATGCTCACAGCATATCATCAGGGTAAACTAGTGCCATTTATTATTCTTTACACTGGAGGTTTGTGCAGGTTTTTCTCCCCTATTATACTATTTACAATTTAAAAACAGAGAATGTGAATTTTTTAAAAAATTGGGGAAGAGGTTTGAAACTGGGTCTTGCTATATAGTTTAACAGGCTGCCTTAAACTCACTATGTAGCCCAGGCTAGTCTCAAACTCACAATGATCCCCGTTTCAGCCTCCTGAGTGCTGGGATTACAGGGCATGGAAAAAATGTGAGCTTTTTTAAAAAAATTTTTTATTTTTTAAGAATGTGAACTTTTAAAAACATTTTGTTTCTCCAAGTTCTAGGATTTTTACATCTTTGTAAGTTATTATAAAATATATAATGGCTGACTCAATAATTCATTTCTGAGTACGTATCCTACACTTGATCTTGGGCTGGATATTCAGCTCAGTGGTTCCAGTGCCTGCCTCACAAGCTCAAGGTCCTGAGTTCAATGCCCGGTACAGGAGGGGAAAAAAAAACACCTACACTTGATCTTAGCCAAAAGGCCAGGAAGCAATGTCTGAGTTCTTATCCTAAGGAATTCATTATAAAAATAGGAAAAGTTGTATACCACGCA